CCCACAAGTACATGCTGTATATGTTATTTTACAATATAATAAATCTGCCCATTTTGTAGAAAAGTACATTAAAGACAAGCCGACATAAACTTATGTTGCACATTTTGTGGTTCTTTTTTTCTCGGTTTTTTGCTGACACACTGCGCTCATCTCGTTACAACCGTATTGCGTATACGCCCAGTGGGTCTCGTTCGTACATACCATTCTGCTCAGCTATGTTTATTTTTGCACAAACCATTGGACTGAGTTTCATATGTCACTTCGACATATGGATAGCCGAGCGTACAACTACAACAACTGTCTCAAATATGAGCATGTGTATAAGTGAACGCAATTGTATGCGTGTGTGTGTATGCAAAAGGGCAAAAGTAGAAAACTTCAATGATTTTCATTTTGACCTAAATGGCAACCATCCAGGTCAGACAATGCCATCCGTACTTGATGCGAAGTGCTGCGGCATTGCACTGTTCAGCCATGTGCTGAGCTACATTGTCAGTGTGTGTGTGTAGGCGTAGTATTGTTGCACACATACAAACATAGAACACATATCAAGGCATAGTAGCGCCTGGTCGTTGCTACTATTATTGTCACAGCTGTCGTTGTTGTTCTTATTATACTGAGCCACTGAGACTTAGAATTCACAGAGGCTTTTGTTATACGTTGCTAACATTTTTAATGTAGCAACAATTGCATTCTGTCAACCGATATATGCAAATGTAAAAAGTATGTACATTTCCATGTAATTTCTTTGTGTGGTGCTTGGACAAGCAATGCGGTGTAATAATACAAAGCATATGCAATAATAACAAATTCGTGTAAATACATATACATTACAATATTAATGTACAGCAATTTGTATATGCATATACAGGCAAATGTCCTTTTTAGATACGTACATATGCGTGTGTATCTATTTTTTAAGTCGAAATCTCTCTACTATACACTCGGTGTTGGTGTACAAGTATGTATATCTTCTACGTCATGTATTCATTCAGCTGCCATAGATTAAACGCTAGACTAGCTACGAACGTCAACTCGTTCGCTCTTTATGCCGATGTGTGTGCACGTGTACGGAATTTGCATATAATTATCGATTTTTTGTTTCTTACAAAAGATATTGGCAGCTTTTAAATAAGCTAAAGAGTGAAAAACTCTAAATTTCTTAAGGAAATTTAATGCCTTTGGGCCCTTTAATGCAACATTTTTAGAAAGAAAAAGAGCAGAAGCCTATGTCTTTCCGATAATGTAAAGGCAAACAGTTATACTCACTTATTTAAGCTGCTCTTAAGACACATGTTGTGTTCTGTGAATAAAATTCAATAATACTAATCATTGTAAACTAATTATCTTCATGATACAACTTGTCGCTCTTTCAATACACTTACACTACTACAAAAGAAAAGAAAGATTTAATTTTGAAGGAGAGCACTAAGTAATTATTAACCAAACTATGTTCATGGTTTAAATCACAATTCTTTTATCATTTGCTAAGATTGTTAAATAGAGGAAATTATGAGCTGAGATTACTGTGTTAAAAAGTAACGAAACTGAAATTGATAAAACGGTTAAGAGCACCATTGCTTAAGAGAAATTCATATTCTTAATACCCTGAACCACGTATTTTTTTCACAAAAGATGAGCTAAAGCAGGTTACATAAAAAGAATAGATACCAAAATAAAAAGAATGAAGAAAAGGCAAATATTTAATATTCTGAGAGATATTTAAAGGTTTTAACCGTTTTATCAAATGGTAAGCGATTCAAGTTCTGTAATGGAGCACAAAATTACCTTAATTAATGTTGGAGGTATATTTCCACCCGGATGAAGAATAACCTTTCTATAGCATATAACGACGAATCACAATCAATTACGAAACTACTGAACTTTAAAATAGTAAATCTGGTAGACTGAATAAATAAAAAATGGATCTGCCGCCAAAGAGAAAAGTAATTTAATTTTTCCGCCGATTTATCAGTACTTCGTAAATTAATTAAACACATATGTACATTTACAGATTGATTTTGTGAAGTTTCACTAAAAAGGAAATAAATATGTAGATAGAAAAATGCATAACATCGATGGACTAGTGTTCATAGCAGGAAAAATATAGCCTTTTTGCTGATTGTTGTTGTAGGGACAAATAATATTATTTTGACATTATGAAACAGTGTTGACGAGCTATCTTTCCTTACAAAAATAAAAATCTGATACCCTTCCGCCACCGTAGGACACACAGTCGTCTGGCCTGGGAACAGGGTCTTGTCAGGGGATGTGGCTCCACTTGGGGTGTTATAATAATCAATATCTTCCTCAGAATTAAAAAAATCTTTATGTTTATCAAATAATATTAAGCAAAAACTCAAAAGTTTAAAACAGCCAGAGTAATTTGATAACCACACAATATAGCAAATAGCTGGCATACAAACTGCACAATCGGAATAAAGGACTTGTATCAGAATCTTTTTTATTTGACGGGATATCTACACGAAATTTGACATGAGTTATTTTCTAAGGCAAGATCGGATCACTATAGCATATAGCTGTCCAAACTGAACGAACTTAATCAAGTGCTTGCATGGAAGACTTTTTCATTTGACGAAGTATTTCCACGAAATTAGGCACGAGTTGTTTTTTAAGGCAACAATGTATTCTGCGCAGAAATTGTTCAGATCAGATCACTATATCAGATGCCTTACAAATTGTATGGCCTTTGTTTTTGTGAAGGGTTAATGTCTTCGGTGCAACCGAAATTAAGGTTTGGTTTTGCTTTAATATAATTTTATCTGACGAGAACCATAATATAACAATAAAACTAGGTCTAAGTTTATGACCTGCAATATAGGTCAAGAGTATACCAAACTTGATTGTAATATGTTCACGATTTCATCGAATAATGGAAATTTAATTCTTTCGCAACATTTTTTTATTTTAATATAAAGTTTTTCAAGCACCTGGAGGAATTTCCCGGGCTTTGATTCTTGCAAGTTGCAAGAGTATAAAATGTTTGTTACATCCGAACTTAGCCCTTCCTTACTTGTTTTATTACTTTTATTTTCTAAACTTATGTATGGAATGCGCGAAGCTGGCAGCATGTATTTAAAAAAACTGTAGCATTTTTTCCAAGTTCTTCGCATATTTTCTCGAAGCACTATATATTCGCTGGCGAATTGTCTGCTGCCAGTTAGTATGTGTGGCGCCGAAACTTAATTGGCTGTGTTACCGCAAATTAATTGAAACATTCATCTGCATGTGCGGTTAAGTTTTTAAATTAGAGCGATTTAATGCAATGTTGCTACATTCCTATAATTTCTTATTCTCTGCATTTCTAGCACATTATTTAATAATGATAGATATTTTATAATGTTTCTATAACCATTGCTCCAATATTCCGAATATACGTTATGCATGGAAAGCTACCGCCCTTGTGCGTCTGTTCTAGTATTTGTCTTTCATTCGAAGCGTAAACAACAACAATTTGTTTTTTACCCATATGAGTCGAACTTTGGGCTTTAGAAAGTGTTTTTGAAAGAAGGTTTTCTTCATTACATTAATATGAAGAAAACCTCAACCGAAAATGCCAAAAGTGGTTTACACTATTCAAAAGTGTTGATTTTAGCTTGAAAGACGAAAAACCTCCTGAGCAACTAAGAAAATTTGAAGAGAAGGAACTGAACTACTCAAAGGAGTTTGTTACCAAACAAAAGAAAATCTTCCAGGATCTTTGCGAATCACTCTACAAGCCATTTCAAAACATTCAAAAGCAAGGAAATTGGGTGTTATATAAACTGAAGCCAAGAGACTTTGAAAGACGATTGCATGTCACGTCTAAAAGAAGACGAATTGCACCGGATTGAGACTGGAGATGAAGTATCGATCGAAATCAACGGCAATACCGAATATCCCTGACGCCAAGGTAATGCCCTGCATTTTATGGGATCAGAAGAGCTGCAACCATTTACAGGAAACACTACTGACAAAAATTCATCAAAATGAAGCGAGCTATTACCGAAATACCCTTGCGAATTAACTTGCGACCAGACTCGAGGCAATCACTTTCCATCATGACAACGCTCGGCCTCATGTTGTCCTTTCTGACATTTTTCCGGTCGATGCAGGATGCCCTGGAATACGGTTCATATCAGAACAGGGTATCAAAAATTCGTTTGATTTATTCTTGGCCCCAAGCTGGCGCAGTTCTTATGGGATGGAATTTACAAATTGCCCGAAAGATACAAATATGTTATAGCTTCAGATGGGCAATACTTGAATAGTATTGTGCATATTTTTCTTAAACGCACGTTCCAAATAAAAAAAAAACGAACGAATATAGTTATAGTTACCCAATAGTTCACAACCTTTTGTAAAAGGTTGAATATTTCACCTAAAAGTAATAGGGGTGCTCTTAATTGGATCAATGTATGAATTAAAACGTTCAAGTTCTCAATAAAATTGTAATGAAAATTAGTTATTTTGTTCCGCATCACTTATTTACTCAATATGATGAAGAAATCGTTGACCTTATTCTAATTATGTGAACAAGATACCTAAAAGGACGTTTATGTATATTTCATACTTTTCTAGCTACTATAGCTTACTAAACTGCCACCAAATGTATTTCATACTCACTTCTCTTAGTGTTTTGTATTTACATAAATATTTCATTACACTTAGAAAGATTATCCAAATTTTGAGCTGAAATTAATCTTGCTTAAGAAGTCCAACCATTTTCAGGAAGATCATATCATATCAGAGCAAATGATACGGTTTGAGAAGCACTAGCTTTTTAATACTAATATTTCATTTTACGATATGGCTATCTTGACGGTAGAAAATCTCCAATCTTGCGTTAATTCACAGGACGGTTTTTTAAATGCAAATAAAGTTTTATGTGTAATTTACTGTTGTTTATTCATACCATATTTTCAAAGACAGAAAATGCAGGTTACAATAGGTAAAGCAATGAAAAATATTAGAAAATCAATAAACAGGCATTAACTTACCGACAACAATCATGTCCTCATGCCCCGAAACTGTTTGGAAGGAGGGGGCTTCACCGGAAACTTCACAGCGATAACGTCCTGTTGACTGTAAAGTAACGCGTCGCAACACTACCACATTATCCGTTGAGTTGAGCAGCTGCAAACAAAAAATCAGTAGAATTATTTTATTATTACTAAGGCAAAAATTATTTGAAAACGTAAAATGTATGTATTTTTTTTTTTAAATAAGCTTAACCATATATTGGATCAGAATTGCCTCCCCTTTACAGCGAGAAATTCGATGCCAAGAAATTTCAGCAAAAAATCCATATCCACTCCCACTTAAATGAAAGCAACACTTGTGCCACTTGACAGTTTAGCAAAAAATTGCAGACTTATTTCTTTACTGGTAGTTACGTGCGTTGTAGGTATTGTTGAAAACTTGGGACTGTCAGTAACACTTTTGCCTCCATGGTATTATTTCTTGCATATCTACTCGAACAAACTTAATACAAAAAGTTAAACTTTCTTTATTGTATTAGTGAACTTTCCGTTACATTCTGTCACACCTACTCGAATATGTTGCAACTATGTACATATACATATACAAATGGGAATTCGTTGATTTCTACAGAAAATTCTGCTCTTAAAAAGGAGAAGACTAAATAGGGTAAGGGATTTTCTGGATTGTCACTTTTGATCATATTACGAGACTTATTTGACGCTACGCTAATCGAAAACAACATATATTATATTTTACTCCATACCATGAGGCTATGATTTACTAACAGTATTAACCATTTGTATTAAATTTTCAATACCAATATTATTTTATACATTAATATTTAGTCAGAAATTACCGGACCACTACTACCCCAGTGCTAAACAATTTCTGGACTAATCCATTCTTAGCCTATTATACACCTTGGTTTACCGACAATTTCCGCATCATATGTTTACGCGCGTAAACATTTTCTTAAGCAGTCAACTGTTGCAGCTTTCTTGCTTGCCACAACCGCAACCATGTATGTGTTTATGGCTTTCAAGCGGGTGAAAAAAAATTTGTTTGCCTTTAGTTTGGAACTTGACGCAAGCCTTGAAACTGTCGTAAGCTTCAAATACTTTTTTGCGGTATTTAAGAAAGGAGAAATTTGCTTTACTTGACTCAAGCAATGTCTCACTCCGCAAAATTCACGCACAAAGGCACTTCTAAACTTGTCCTTTTAACAACTTTTTGAAGCCACTTTTTCTACAACAGGTTAATACTCGCTACCAGGGTTGCATATTTTATAATTCAAAAATTTTCATTTTTTAATTGCGATGTTGGGAAAATCTAATATTTAATCACAACATCGGGATTAAAATATTAAAATTTTATTTTTAATTTTGTATAGGAGAATTTTTTTTTACATTACTCGAATATGTTGCAACTATGTAACATATATATGTACAAATGGGAATTCTTTGATTTCTACAGAAAACTCTGCTCTTAAAAAGGAATAGATGTTGGGGTTAAAAATTAGATGTTTAGTTTTCAATCCGAAACATTAGGGATTAAAAATTAAATGTGTTATTTTTTCAATTTGCATCAAGTACGCCTACGCGAAGAAATTCTTATTCTAAAACAATTCCTGTTTTTAATTCTTAGTAATATACTTGGGACTAAAATTTTTCATTTATATTTTTTGAACCGGTAGTTGGGGTTAAAACTTAAATAGTCCGGTTTATGGGATTACAAAAGAAAAAAATTCAAATGTGAATTAAATTATTTTTTAATGCATTATTTGCAACCCTGCTCGCTAGAACGTGGCCACACATTATCGGTTTTTTTATTTTTTCGTGTGGCTCACAATAAAAAGTGATTAAAATGAAATTTCACTAAGGGTATATATTCGGGCAGCTGAGGGATATATTTTGTAAAATTATTCTAATTCTCTAATTTCACTTAGTTCTCTCACATCTAATCGTATGAATTTTGTATGGAAGCGGGATGAAGATATGCGCCGATGTCATTTCTCTTTTTTCTCTTTTGTATATTAAACACAGTACAATAGTTCCCACTTAATGTCACCAAGTTATCTAACATACTGGCCCAAATATAAGGTTGTCAAATATCTCCCTTCCGCTTTTTTGCTCTTCATTCAATGCTTTATAAAAAGTGTTACAGTGATCGGATTTAGTTAAAATATGCGCCGTTTTGTTCGATGATCTGTTTCCATCTAGACGGCAACTTCATAATACCTTCCTCGTAGAAGCCCCCCTCCTTATTTGCGAAGAATTCGGACAGCCACTTTTCACAAGCCTCTTTTGAGTTCAACTTCACACCACCAAGGGCATTCGCCATGGACAGGAACAGGTGGTAATCACTTGGCGCTACGTCCGGGCTATATGGTGGATGCGATAAAACCTCCCATCCGAGCTCCCGTAGCTTCTGACGAGTCATCAACGAAGTGTGTGGTCTGGCGTTGTCCTGGTGGAACACTACACCCTTCGTGTTGGCCAATTTTGGACGCTTCTGGTCGATCGCCTGCTTCAAGCGGTCCAGTTGTTCGCAGTAGATGGTAGAATTAAGTGTCTGGCCATATGGGAGCAGCTCATAGTGGATGATTCCCTTCCAATCCCACCAAACACACAGCAAAACCTTCCTGGCCGTCAATCCTGGCTTGGCCACTGTTTGAGACGATTCACCGGCCTTCGACCACAACCGTTTTCGCTTGATATTGTCGTATGTGATCCATTTTTCGTCGCCAGTCACCATCCGCTTCAAGAATGGGACGAGTTCGTTCCGTTTTAGCAGCATATCGCAGGCGTTGATTCGGTCCAGAAGGTTTTTTGCGTCAAATTATGCGGCACCCAAACATCAAACTTTTGGTTTGGTGACTAACTCCCATCTCCTGGGCGATGTCACGAGATGCCATATGTTGGTCTAACTCGATGTATTCTATGATTTGATCGGCATTTGTCGTCACAGGTCTTCCGCCGGCTGGCTTATCCATGGTGTCGTTTTCACCGGCTCTGAATCGTCGAAACCATTCCTCCGCGGCTCGAAGTGATAGAGTACCATCCCCCAAAACACCATTAATCTCAGGGAACGTTTCTCTAGCGGATTTGCCTTTAACGAAGGAAAACTTTAAAATAGCGCGAATTTCGGCGTTAGTGAACTCCATGTTTACACGTCTATAACTGTTGAACGCAATATCCAAACTAATCATGCATAGCGTTGTTTTGTAGGTTATGTCAAGACCTTTCAAACTATGTATAGTGTTGCCAGATACGAGCTCTGTAGCGCTTTGTACATAGCCGCGAAATTCAAAAGACAAAAAAGCGGAAGGGAGATTATGGATATGTAAGTAAGAAAGCCTCAGTTCGGGTGTAACCGAACATAAAATACTCTTGCAACTTGCAATATTCAAATGCCTTCAGGTGCTGGGAAAACTTTTTTTTAAAAAATGTTGCGAAAGAATTTAACATTCATTATTCGAAGAAATTGTGAATAAACTATAATCAAATTTGGCATCTTCTTGACTTATATTTAAGAACACTAACGTATACTTAATTTTATTATTATATTTTGGTTAGCGTCAACTAAAACTATATCAAAACAAGTAAGGAAGGGCTAAGTTCGGATGTAACCGAACATTTTATACTCTCGCAAAGTCAAATAGTAAACGCGTTTGAGATTTCTTTGTGGATTGGCTGATATTTTCGGTAGAAGGTCAACTATAGGCACTGGGGTGCACATATTTAGTACTTAGGGGCTTGAACAGTTTTGGTTCGATTTAGAAAATTTTTGGTCACCAGGTGGCATACATTAAACGTATTATTCATGCAAAGTTTTACTCCGATATAATCATTGTTGCTTGCTATGCATAGTGGAAAGTGAAAGAATCAGATGGAATTGAAAATGGTGTTATATGGGAAATAGACGTGGTTGTAATCCGATTTAGCCCATTTTCGCAATATAACATAGAAATATGAAAAGAACGTTATGCACCGAATTTGGTTCAAATCGGTTAAGCAGATCCCAAGATATGGGTTTTCACCTAAAAGTGGGCTGTGCCACGCCCACTGTCTAATTTTGAACACGGTTCCTATAAGGTCATCTCATACCATACCATAGATAAAATTTAATGTCTGTGGCGTGTTTATTACTTGATTTATCGCGCTTTTAGTAGTTTTTAACAGTACCGTTATATGAGGAGTGGGCGAAATTGCCACCCGATTTTAACTATTTTAACACTGTAGGTAGAAGTTCTAAAAACATTTGCTTCCAGTGAATTTTGTTATTATAGCATTAGCGGTTTAGGCGATATGCACATTAAACCTATTACGGATTTCAACTCGTCTCTTCATGCTGATCATTTATATATATATAATCCTATATCTAACTCGATTAGTTTTAGGTGATACAAACAACCGTTAGGTGAACAAAACTATTATATTCTGTAGCAACAGGTTGCGAGAGTATAAAAAAACCTCAAATGAGATACATGTGATATCATTTTCTGCAACCTGTGGCTACAGAGTATAAATATTTTTTTTCACCTATTGGTTGTTTGTATCACCCAAAACTGAACCAGAAAGATAAAGGGTTATATATACATAAAGGGTCAGGATGACGAAAACATCGCAGGTAGCTGCATGTCCGTCCGTCTGCCCATTCAAGCCGTAACTTGAGTAAAAATTAAATCTCTTGATGAAATATGGTACACATGTTCCTTGGAAAGAAAGTGGACGTGTTCGTAGATGGGCGCAATCGGACCACTGACACGCCCACAAAACGGCATTAAAAACGTATAAAGCGCCGTAAACTAAGTTAAAATACAGAACTTTGGCACAACGAATCTTATTAAGAAGATACACCTGTGTTTTGAAAATTTTTAAAAAGCTATTTTCAAGGTATATTACCAATATTTGGCCAAGACATATCATTTCGACACCTCTTGCGATAACATGAAAACAGATGAAATTGAATGATAAGCCCGCCCACTCCCCATATAACGGTTTTGGTAGAAACTACTAAAATGACTATAAGTCAATAACTGAAAGCGTCAAAGACATTAAATTTTACACCCAGGATGCAAGAGCCGTTGTCAGAATTGGATGATGATCAACCACATTTAGTATATAACATTATTTGTACATTCCTTGTAACAGTGCAAAAATGAGCAAAATCGGACTACAAGCACGCCTACTTCCCATACAACCCAATTTTAAATTCCATCTGATTCTTTCATTTTCCAGTATACAAATCATGAACCAATCACTGTATTCGAACAACAGTTTGCACAAATAGCGCCTCTGAGGTTTGCCACTGTACAAGCCTCAGGTAACGAATATGTGAACCCCAGTAGATATAGTTGACTTTTAATGAAAATATCAGTCAATGTGTGAGATTCAAATAAAAAATAAATCTAAAATGGGTTAAATCCGGTCAATACTTCCCTTAGCCCTATAATTGTACACCTAATATAAAGATTTGCGAACTTGCGGGTGACTTTGTAATCTTAAAGAATATTACCTCGAACTTCCAAACGATATCTGAAAAACTTACAATACATCAACCAAAGATAATACAGAAACCACTCTAGCGGGTATAAAATCATGTGCAGATAATGCATTAGTTTTATTCGTGATAAAATCAGTTATTCACACAACGCTGAGAAAAAAAATGTTTCGATTAATATTGTTGACTATAAGTGAAGCGCGAGACATTTAGCATTCACAGTTGTCGTCCTGGAACAAAATGAAATAAACGTTGTTAATCTACTTGAGAATACCCTCAGAAGTATGTAGGCAAATCTGAAAATATTTTTTCATTCAAAAATTTTAAGCATTTGAACAGAAAAATTAAGTTTTTAGTTAATAATTTCGTAATGAACTAGCCATAAGAGAAAGTTTTGAATCAATCGTATTTTATCTATGTAATTCTATACAAAATCCAATTCTAAAGGTATTCTCAAAATTTGAAGTGGATCGGATAAAAATTATCAAAGTTTTTTGTCTCGCCAAAAGTAGTTTTGAGAAAAACGCGTCCAAAGGTTGAGAGGTAGAAGAAGAGGAGAAAAAGGTGGGCTTACTATATATTAACTTGAATCTTATTTTTATGACTATAAATCATAGTTTAAGCAAAATAATCATGTTTTGAAAATTCTACACACAGGTATCGTACGCTTAAGTTAAAATGGGTATTTTTAATTTTCTGGGCTAAAATTGAAATTTACTTGAAGTGATCTTGAAAAAATGTGTATTTAAGTAATTTGTCTCAAATAAAATAAGACTGAAAGAGTACAGAATATAATTTTTCGAAATTGAGCATAGCAGAAGTCTCTTGAAAATAATTATATAGATATTATTGAAATCAAACGTTTTTTGTTCAGAGATAATTTTTGGTTATGGAAAACTACTTCTAACTTAAAAATTCTTTCAATTCTCAAATGCACATTTATGTAACCCTTTTTCACTCGGTAAAAGTGAAAATCGAAAGTAAGCGGCGTGTGAACTATATTAAAATGCGGGTAAAATCCGCGCAAATGCAATAAAAACACAGTAACATACGTACATCGACATCAACACCCGGCAGTGGAAACACTTGTCCGGGCGGCATATCCCTCGGCACATAGCGATAAAATTCAAAACCGTCCTTATACCACTTCACCGAGTACAGTGATTCGCCATCCAAATCGTATTTGCAGCCCAACATCGCGTCCTCGTGCCGCATGATGTGTTTCGGTATACGCACTTCCGTCATGGACAAACAGTGGACGCTATCTGTGAAGCAAAAAATATAAACCATGGTAAAAAATCGAGTTAAATTCAAATAAGAAATGGAGAGTCTATAAAAATGTAAGCATTAAATAGAAAAAATAAAACAATAAACGCGCTTTGGACATAGCAAACACAAATCGGCAGTACAGCAATAATAAAAAATCCAACAAATCGAAATACAACAACAATAAATGGCACAAATCCTGTGCGCCATAAAAACTGCACTGCGTTCAAAGCGTTACCGAAGGATAACTGGAACACTCGCAATGGATTACCGGTTCAATAAAAGTCACTCACCAGCCGTTTTTTCCCACACTCTTTCTCCCTTTGTAAAAATCTCATTGCTGTTTTTGCGACTTTCTAGCGCTTTGCCTGAGCTTTTTGAATTTGAGTTTTTAGGATTATTGTTTTCACGACTATCAGTTTCAGTATTCGTTGTCTGAGTTTCAGTGCGGCAGCGACCATATGAAATAAGTCACCAGAGTACGCGGGGTATGTACTTCTGTATAGACGCAGATTAGTACGTTTGTTGTGAAAAGGCAGAGTTCGAAGAATTATTTAATACTTGATTCTTAGCCGATACTTGGAAAGCGATTTTACCACCGCAAACACAAGCGCCAGTTAAGGGAGTTTTATGAAAACCTATTCGTAGCGCCTCAGTTACCATATCTCTGGCCAGATCCGATAGATGCAATCAATAATGGAGAGCATAAACTAGCACTTTAGATAATAAACTAAGTGACAAGTACAACACTCAAATAGCGTTTGAGTTTAAAACCTTAAAAAGACGATAACTATCTGAACAATAAATTTAAGGTTACTTTATTTTCCATCTCCTAATGATAGCAAGCACGTTCTACATATTAAAAGGTGAACCATTTCGAGGTTCCCTAATTTTTTAAAGAAAAGAACACACAAAATTTTAATTTAATGGGGAATATTCGAAAGAACATTTCTTGGCATTTATTTTTTGAAGATTATCTCTTTCGAATGTAGAGTTTAGTCCAAATTTTGATGACTCGTTCGAGTATTTCGACTCGTAACTGGCGAATGACACGCATGATGTTTTGCACCAAGACCTGACTTGTCCACATAGACTTTAAACTTTACACATCCTCACAGGAAAACGTTTAACAGTGTGATATCATATAATCTCGGTGGCCAGTCGACAAGCCCAAAACGTCAAATGATCTGCTTACCGAAGTGTTCTCTCAATAAATCCATGGATTGATGCGATGTGTGGGAAGTGGCGCCGTCTTGTTGAAACCAAATGTCGCCCAGATCACGAGCTTCAATTTCAGCATCAAATAGTCGGTTATCATGGCGCGCTTTTGACGATTACGCTCTCACCGGCATCATTTTTATAGAATTATGGACCAATGATTCCATCGGCTCACAAACCACACCAAAACGGTGTTTTTCTAGATGAAATGGCAGCTCTTTAATCTTTTCAGGTTGCTCTTCGTCCAAACTGCTGAAATTTTGCTTGTTTACATATCCATTGTGCCAGAAATGGGTCTCATCGCTGCACAAAATTTGAAAACGTCGGATCTTTTTGGAGCTCATAGCGCGAAGCGATATCGCTGGGGACGGTCGAGCAGCTTCAGTTCTACTCCAAGCTGTAGTAGTATTTGAATTCAAGATCTCCACGTAAAATGCGTCACGTCGTTGCATACGTCACACCGAGTTGCTGCCAACGGCGCCGTTTCGACTCTCCACGGTCTTGGTGTACACTCTCAGCTACGGCGGCTATATTTTATTCACTGCGTGCTGGATGTGATCTATTCGGTCTAATACTATCCAATAATGAATGCTTGGTTTCAAGATGGGTGATAGTGTTGCGAATAGTACACTCAGTATGTAAGTTATGTTGACCATAAGTTGAGCGAAGCGCGCGAAGCACATTCTTTACTGAACGTGAATTCCGTAATAAAGTTGAACGAATTGTAAACACTGTTCAAGCGAAAATCTTTCCATGAAATGCCAAATAATACTGAACAAAAATAACATGACAGCTAGACACAACTCACGCGTGATCTTCCAAAAAATGGTGATTGAAAAAAGTAACTATACCTAGATCACCCATTATATGTGAGTAAAAACACGTCAAGTGGACCTTAGTTAAAAAATTAATAATTAGAGAACTATTGGTGATTTTTTAATGAAATTTTCAGCAGTTATAGTTCAATACTTGTGCTTTGAAAAAATATGTATGAATTTAAATAATTTTTTTTTTCAAATTGTTAATTAACTTTTAAGTTAAGAAATGAAAATGACTTCTCCCTCAAAAAATTAAAGATTTTTTTTTTAGTATTTTGCAATAAACATTAAGTAACGAAATCCGCAAAAAAATTTGACTGATCGCGATTAGATTAATCAAAAAAAAAAAACGGGCGGTCAGCGCTGCCGGTATAGCGCGCTTATATTTCATTTTTATGATGGCATGATGGTCTTACTTTTTGCTTGCAATGAATTACCATGAATGTGGTAGAAAAATATGAATAATACCCACTTATTGGTTTCAAAGAAATACTTAAGACGGGAATTCCCTAATCCACCAGAATGTATTGAATACCCGCTACTAATATTTCAAAGCCAGATTATAACTGGAATTTCCTATTCTTTAAGTATTAAAAATCCATAATTTTTCTACCCCATATTTTTTCTATTCATTATAAAACATAATTGAATTATTTGCAATTCCTGTTTTAAATAAAATGATATTCGAACTAAATCCTAAGCAGATTTAAAGTTATTGAGTAAAAGCTCTTTTTAATCAATTTCACTATTTATATTGTTAATATTATCTTTGAATTTACTCACAACATTTGTTAAAACTTTTTGAATATCTTTATTACTTGAGACTCTCTCTTGATTTTGATTGGAGGTCAACCAATTTTCGTTAAAAATGTATTAACCTTATCAATTTTAAATTTGTTATCTACCGGTTTGCAATGAAAAGTAGGATCCTTTTCTTCGTTATCTTCGATCACATTATTTGACTTCTCAGGCTTGTTGGCTTCAGGACATTTATTCACCGATAATTCACCAAGAATTTCAGCTTTTCGGCCTGAATAAATATTCCGTTCATATGATTTGTATATCCTAATAAAATCTTTAAAATCATGAGCGCGGTTTTTTGTTTTTAAAACTAAGTTTTTAATGACTTTTTATGATCGTTTTTGTTCAATGGATTGCAGCATTTCTTAACGAGCCTCATGATTAATTATCAACGAAATTACGAATGGCTCAAGATATTCCTTTGTTGTTCAGATATCATAAGCAGGCTGAATACCAGATCCTGAGGATATGTTGAATGACTGGGCACCAAGAAGCAATTTGGTAATGGTTTCCATATATTTGAGATTAGGTCAATCGGTCGATTGTGGATTTTAGCACAGAGTGTTTGCATACCAAAATGTTAATAAAATAAATATTTTTAGTTATCTTTAGTGCGATAAATATTACAAACCATGATTGGGTTTCATAATATATGTCATGTTCATCAAAAAATATATTGAATACTGATTTGTAGTGTTTTTTTTGTTGTAAAACATGTTATATTTTTTTTTTGTATGTTGGGATGTAATGATGAAAAATAAGCTCCAGAATAAAGGCTTACCATGTTTCCTTAATTTCCTTAAAAATAATAAAAAGATGGTGTAGATTTTTTCCTAATTTTCGATTTTAATATAAGCTTTCGAGGTATGTGTAATAAAGGTTATGTGATTTAAAAGCTTTCAAAGAGCTTAATGTTAACAAAAATAACCTCGTGAGCCCTTTATGACGCTTTTTGTTGGTAGGAGGTAAAATGATTATCTCACGTTCATTTCCAAATTGTTTCTTCTTGATATCTGCGTAAATAAACCTTAGTTCAAGTTCATTACCCATTTGAGAAACAGCAAGTTAACAAATTTATTATATTATTTTATTGTAAATTGCAAACGTTTTATATTTAGATCTACACAAAAATAAGCGAACATTCAACTGTTCCACCACTAAAGTACCATTGGCAAGACAAGAAACCAGAAAATCTCTTTAAATGACATCAGCTTTTTTAAAGAGCAACAACAATGCATGTTTTTTAACAGCACGCAGTGGCCTCAATACGGACTGACATGAGTGCAATAAGTACTTAAGGAACCTTGGAATAAGCAAAGTAAAAAAGAAAATAGAATGAACAATGACAACAACAACTAAGCCACTAAAGTCTTTTATACTGAGGCCAGCCAACCACCAAGGACTTTGGAAGAAAAAGACCATAGTTATAGTTTAGGATTTCTAGGAGAGTGTGTGTATGTGTGTTTATACACTTGCCAAACAAAACAACAACAATGAAATTACAGCAATAACAATCTACAACAAACAACTAAATAAATAAAAGTATATATATGCAACTACAACAAAACAAGGGGTGGTAACCGCCAAAAGGCGAACATAAAACCGCAACGGAGGAAATCGCATTGCAATGACAATGCAATGTCACATCTGAACAACTCAGAACAACAACAACAATAATAACACAAGACATTGCAAGATAAAAGCGAAGAACGGAAAAAGTGGAATTACTTGAAGTGAACAGTTGAATGCACTTGAGTTTTGCAGCACAGAATATTTTCGTATAAAATAAACTAACTTCAACAATACACAACGAAGCAACAACAAAAACATGTAGGTTTAGCTTATGGTACGACAACTAAAGCGTCAGCAACTCGGTAGAAAGTCAGATGAATAAACAGAGAATTGCAACGCCAACAAAGTTTTACTTGGCTAGGCTTAGCATGGCGCTGATGATAGCGGTTGCCCCGCAACCAAACTTGCAACTGGCATACGCGCGAATGTACCGCTAAAAGCGCTGTCTTTCGCTTAGCGTGTGCTGTCAATTGGTGGGGCGCAGATGTAGCGGCTGCGGTTATCTAATAACCCTGGCTTGCAGTCTCAAGCAGTTTCACATATTTTTTCTTACTGGAAGAATTTTTGAACAGCATGGAGCTTGTGTAGAT